CTTATCAGCTGGACGATCAATGGTAAATGCAATAACAAGCGTAAGCCAATCCATGATGATCACCATTGCCAATTGATGAACTTGAACCGATAACTTGAAAAGTGATATCTATCATCTATTGATTTTATTGTCAATTAACTCCTGAACTAGCAATATCAAGTAGCCAATCATTTTGCTCCACATCGTGACAATGACATATATAATAATCTGAAATATTTCGTAGAGCATTGACATCAGAATAATATCGGAGTAATTCTCGACTCTATTCTAATTCATTTTGTTTACATTTTCATCAATTCGCTTCGTTCTCGATTTCTCTGCACGAATTCGATGGGTCCAACTTGTATGCCAGTCAGAAATTCAGCTAGGGAATGGTCTATTCCGATTCTAACAAAGAAGAGGTACCTGCCGATAGTTATTCGCTAGCGCTCTGTGTTTTCTCGACGTCACAAATATAGATGGAATCTGCTTTGATGTAGTCAATACAATAATTCGAAGGATATTCGGGCAGCCCTTGTATTCCTGCTTGATGTAAACCAAATGATCCATTGATTCTGCAAGAAAAAACGAAGATAAAACAATGCTCATGCTGAGTCATAAAGATACATATTCTGCTGAGTACAATAGCGATCATGTTCTATTTAAATGTGTGTCACATGATCGAACTGATTCGAAGAAATTTTCCAATCCTCAAAACTTCTTTACTTAGCAAACATTGGCGACAAGTAGCGGTTACATGATTCACATGAGTGATGAGGTTATTCAGCCTATTTCATAATATCAACGTTTTTGTCAAGATCCATTTAATTAATATGGATTGATTCGTGACTAATTATTTCTCATTACATGGGAAAATTTAAAAATGTATTGTTGATCTTCACAGACTCTGCTGGCCTAAGTAAACAAAACCTGTGTGAAGATGGGTGACATGGCTAGTCAGAAATGTCCACAATACCCGCCAGACCTTGTCTACAACGTCTTCTATACATGTCATAACTAATTACTTTGGCAAGAAATGTTGTGAAACAAGGTCTGGACCAGATCAGGGCGACCAGTCCATTCTTTTGAGAATGTACTGTCAACCTAGTCCAGAATAGTCTAAATACTACAAACAACGCGTTTTGTTTCGACTAAGCTATTCTGCTAATTCTTTTGACTGATTAGTAATAGAAAGACAAAGAAGTGGAATATAACGTGAATAATTATTCGATATTTCTATTATTTCCTTGAAATAACTGATGTTATCGATTTCGTTTCTAATTTGAGTGGCTCATCATATTTTGCATTTTCACATGTAAAACAAATGCAAAAATATATCGAAGCATTAAAAAGTATGAGAAAGTAAAATATACAATATTTATTTCGTAGCACGACGTGCAAATGTATATATTTTAAAAGTTATTAAATGTATAAACTAAATTGAAAATATTTAATTTAAGGATAATTTAAATATTTCTGAATCATAATTATATTTTACTTTATTTAAAATATGAATTCTGATGATTTAAATAGCACAAATTTTATTTAGCTATATATTTAAAATTCACACTTGAAATTTAAGGTTAATTTAAATCATGATATCAAAACTATTTGGTTTTTTTCAGCTTAGATAATTTTTAATTTATTTTTGTACTTAAATTTTTTTTTCAGCATAATTCTACTTACTTTTAATTGATTATAACCAGAAGACACACCTCCAAAAATAAAAAAAATAAAAATTTTTTGAATTTCTTTTTGTTCAGTATTGTCTAAATAATTTTGCATTTCTTTAAAGAAAAATTTTATTCATATGAAAAATTGAAGGAAACTTCGAGTAAAACTGTATCAAATAACATCGTAGAATGATTATGAACATCTAGAAATTAATCTCTTGATCGTATGGCTAAATGGTCTGAATGATGGATAAGTCATATATCGTATGTATACTCGAATCTAACCGTCATCTTTACATATTTCAATTTAGACTAGTCCAGACTCGATCGCTACATAAGACCACAACTGATCGCGTGCAGAGTTATGAATGCTATTACTTCTTTTATTTAGAATCGTGTCTTTTGATGAGCATCAAGCTCAGTATAACACGTCTAGTCTTTTTCTCAAAAAGGCTAGACACAACAGATATCATGACGGCCACGAGTCAAGCGGTCAGAACGTGGGCTATGGGCTGTAATTGATTTCAGACTAGGCATGTACTAGACCTCTTTGAGAAAAAGGCTAGACAGGACGTACTTAGACCACTAGAAATATGACTAGTCTTTTTATCTGTCCTTTGCTCACCTAGGGGGGACTCTCATCAATTTTGGCTAAACGGCGAACAAAATTTTTATGATGATCTATGAATATGAACCTAATCTAATTGTAGCTTATCATTGAGGTACCTCTGATAATAGACGTACGACCGTTACTCACAATTTTCACCATCGAGGATATTCATCTTATGATATATCCTTCCAGTGCTAAGATCTTGATGTGAATCGTCTTTGAAAGATAGTAGAAATTTTTAATTTAGACAATTTAAAATAGGGTGAATCGGAATCATTTCAAAAGCATCAAGTCAAAATGATCTATTCATCTGCAAATGAAACATCATGTAGACGAGCCATGTCACCTTTCGCTACTATTATTCTCGAAAAACCTTTGAGTCAATACACTTTAAGTTTTGAGCACATCAAACAAATATTTGCGTCGATCTCTTGTATAAAGTTTACCAATCACTGACCACCATCCGATACGATTTCAATAATAGGTCGAACGATGAAGTTTTGTGGTTGCGGATTTAATATAACCCAAAGAATTATTTTCTTGTTCTTCAGAAAACTACAATTTATGATTTTTCTATTTGTCCAACCCAGTAGATACTTTCATTCTAATAGAGTAGAACTTTGCCGAGATGTGATCAGCAAACCCAATAGACGCCAACATTCCACAAGGTACAATATGCTTGATCGAGTGAACCCATATGTATCCCTAGATAAACATCTTGTAAGCAAGATCTTATCGAGATCTTGAAAAGAGAATTCGTTTGTGTATATCTTAATCGTATCAGATAAATCTGTACCTAAGATCGTTGCAAGATCTGTTCAAAGATTCTCACATGTCAAGATCATAGAAACAATATCAGTTGTAATTATCTTTTACCAAGATCATGAGTAAAATAAAAAGCGACATCATTAATTTGTTTACATATTTAAAAATTCTTTAATTGTTTGTAACTAGTTTCCAAAAGTCAATTATATTAACTTGTTAGTCTTAGAGATATGTAAGAAATTTTACAACAGTAAGGGTATTTGTCAACCAATGAAATTAAAGTTATAAAGAATAACGAGAAAAGAAAAAGACAACTAAACAAAGTCTATCAAGTATGAACAAAATTTTTTCGACTAATTTAGTGTATATTTATGAAAGGTTGGTATTTTATGTGAGAACATGACTGATGTCAGGTTGCAATACAGGATTGTTTAGAGTTCAAATTTTCTAAGGATAGGATTTTTTATTGAAAAACGATTAAAACAAAAAGGTTTTTTAGATTTTAGTGTCACTGAGATCTTTAATTTAAATAGATCTTTGGCTAACTTTTTTCTGTAGTAATCATTCTAAGATAGTATAGAAATCCGAAATGCTGAAATTATTATTTTTTTCTTCTAGATTTTTCTATATAAGTGTTTAACTTATGAGATAAATCTTTTTTACATACATAATCATTGATTTAATATCACAATTACCATCTGATGCCATAAATAAAAACCAAGGTTGAATGGTAATGT